GGGGAGGGAGAGGGAGGACAACTACAATGGGAGGATGGTTTATGGTCAAGATAAATATTCTAAGTCAGCAAAATTGTTTATCATTGAACAAAGAAGCTGCTTGTTTTCTGGTTTAGGTTTTGCTTCATAGAAAGATATGAATAATACTAAAGGAATCCCATATGTCCTGCAGCAGTTTATCCTCTGAAAAACCGCAAACAGGTTTACGTTTGAATTTCTCTTCTCCGCTAGCCTAGTCCTTCATCTGAGGGTCAGGTGCAGTGCTGACAGAAGCAGACTGGGAATCACAACTGAGGTGCGTTCAGCAGCTGACTCCACAAAAGCTGAGCCCCTGGGAGGTGCAGTGGTGTGGGAGAGGGGGTGGAGATCTGACTCTGCCACCAAATAGCTGTGGGGTCCTGGCCAAACCTCTTCCTTCCTGGTCCCCAGTTTCCTCTTCTGTAAATTAAACATTAGACCTGGTGATAGCTAAGGGTCCTCCCAGCTCTCGAGTTACATAAAGCTAAAGAGAATAACACTAAATACTACTAAAGAGAATAATACTCTAGGTTGTCATTCTCAGATCAAAGGGACGTGCTCGTTTTCTGATAGTTACATAATCAGAGAAACTCTGCTACTCATTTATTTTGAGAGAGCAACTAGTTGCTTTTATAAAATAAGCATAGCCACCTGGCACTAGTCCTAGTCAAGCACTCTAGATAAAGCAAGCATCTCCATGAAAATCCTATAGCCAAAACTGGTGTAAAAAAACCCAACCCAAACAACAAACTTATAAACTTACCAAATCATTTTTAGTAAGGATTCCCCATAGGCCTTGCTATTCATTTTATTTTATTGCCTTTTGTGGGGTGGGCAGGGGTGGGAGGGTTCTGTATTTTCACATCACATAAGAACGAGGCCAGGGGATGCTCTAAGTTCTTTCCCTCTGATTTTCACTCTATGCATGGCCCGTATCTCTTCTAATTCTATGCCTCTAGGAGTCATTTAGATGCTGCAGTCAGCCCTCTACATACAAAATATGTCTTAATAATCGAACACTGGAAACGAAATACCATTTTTGTATATTATAGAGAAATCATTTGGAGAATTTCCCATGAAGTATTCACTAGTTTTGACCCTCATTTTAAAGCAGTTTCTCCTTTCAGTACAACTTCCAACTGTTAGAATGTTAACAAGATAACATTCTTTGTTACCTGAAGCCTTCAAATCTTCTGTATGTTATAGTTTTAATTAGCATATTAGAGAATAAAGATTTGATTCTGATTAATACTATTCTTCCAAATATGTCTATTAGTTTTATGTAATATCGTATCATGTCATTTAATTTTCCTTACCTACAGTTTAATTAAAAGGGCTAAACTATGATCAATATATTTTCAGCAAACTTTTTCTAGTATATTAACATTTTGTGCATTCCATTTTTTAACAAGATAACCACACTACAGTAATTTTCCCTTCCAGTTTTATTCTATATAATCATTTTGTTTCCATTACCTGATTTATCTCTATCCTATTAACCTAAATGACTTTTCCAAGTTGTTAGCCAAGACTAAAACATTTCAAAATTTAAGAATATTTGGTACGACAAAGACCAGCAATAAAACATAGGTGAGGAGAACAGAAACAGTCACTTTCCATCATATTTGTGATGTCACTAAAAGACACATTCTGGGGTGCTTCTCCATAGTTCCTTCCACAGCTTACACAGAAGCATATCCAAATCTTCCAAAACGCAGTTGGACAAATGTGGAACATTAATATTCTGACTTTTTAAAGTTTAAAATCTCAGGGCTTCTGAGGTACTGGAACTGCCTGGAATAAGAAGGGACGCTACACCTGCCAGAGCGGCCAGCAAATCAAGGCCCCCGAGAACCTGCCGCCTTCCAGAAGCCTGCTCCCTTCTTGGCCCTGCTGTGCCTACCTAGTACACACAAGGGATAACTTTACAGCCAGAGTGGAATCAACAGGACTGGTCAATTCAAGTACATGATTTAGCATCTGTAACACACACCCCATGCCAGGAAAAGACAGTAACATTTCAGGTGAGGAGAATATGAGCTTAGGTGGGAGCCACATAAGATTCTTGGGCAGACTGGCAAGAGAGGAGTCCAGTGAGGAGGGACACGGGTCCTCCATTGGGACGTGGATTCATCTGGACCATTAACTGGACACCACTTTCCCCCTTTGAGTGTTTATATATACATTATTTTTAAAAATACAGTCAGTACTGGTGAAGTATATTTTGGAAGGAACATAGGAGGCTTGTGCTAAGAAGAAGCACATGTTATAGTTGAGTGAGGGTGGATCTCACTCAAGAGTTGACTATGAGGCTGAAAGACTAGAAGGCATCTCAAGTTCGATCAATCTTTTTTTTTTTCTGGTAAATTACTGAGTTTTGTCAGGCAAGGAACAAGTAACTTTTGTGGTCTGAGAAATGATTGGTAATAAGATGCCACTGAAGAAAGTCTTTCCATCAAAATTCGTTTAGGGAAAAACACATAACTATATAAAAGACTATATATCTGATGGCAAATCAATACGCCAAGGTTAATGCAGTAGATCCCACGCAGGAATACTGACTTCCCATTACTGATGGTGAGCAAATGTCCAGAGCCTTGGTCTACATATTCAATTTAAAATTTATCAAAATTAAAAATGTTTTTTTTTTTCTCTCATTAATTTTATTGCAACTGTGCTAAGAACTTTACCCTGGGTCATAACATGGTCAAAAAATAATCTGTTAAAATAAGGGGCCTTTAACTAATTTAACATAATAGCATTTCAAAACTTTCTTCAGAAGTGATTAAACTTAATGTGTTCCAGCGGTGCATTGATGAGCATGGATGGGTTGATGAGAACACATGCTCCACCGCTACCGGCTGTTGCCTTCGTCTCCTCAAGCTGGATGGCTCACAAAGTACCGATCACAGTAAGAAATGCTCCATTGCCTACCTGACGTAGAGGGAGCGTTTCTGGTTAGTTCGCAGGGACCCGGACCCGGAGCTCATGCTGTGGTTCATCATCTGCTCTCGTAGGTCATGGATTTTGGCCTCAAATCGAGCGTAATCTGGGAATGGAAACAAAGGCGGCAAATTTGGTTCTGTGCCTCCAGAGAGTTAGAAACGCTGCCCACCTGAGGCAGCCCCTTGCCCCCAGTGTTGATTCCTTTGCCAAGCAACAGGGTGGTATTAATGACTTGCAGACATTCACAGGAGGAAAAGAGCAAATCGGTTATTTCCCAAAACATAGCTAGAAAATGTCCTGCCATCTCGGTCTGTGACAAGTCCATGGGGAGGAGCAGGGAGTGGGGACAGTGGCAACACAAGGCGTCCTTGTGGTGATGGAAATGTTCCCTGCCTGTCGTCTGTGGCAGTGGATACAGGTACCTGCACGTGCGATCAAACGACAGAGAACTAACCACACACGCACATGAGTACAAGTAAAACTGGAAAAATCGAAGTCAGTTTGATGAGTTGTGTCAATATCAATATTCTGGCTGTGATAACGTGCTATAGTTTTACTGCAATGTTATCACTGGGGAAACTGAGTAAACGGTACATGGGATCTCCCTGTAGTATTTTTTACAATTGCATGTGGATCCATAATTATCTCAAAATAAAAAGCTTAATTTAGAAAAGAGAAGGCAAAAAGAAAAGTCCATGAAATTACTAATGTTATGGAGGTTTTGGTGAGTCTCCAGTTACCCTCAGCTGGATGGACCAGAGAATCAAGTGTTTGGTGATGACTGGTGTAAAAAACATCATTAAATTTTGATAAGTTTTTTTTTCCTGGGGGACTGCTAGGAGTTGTTCACTTGGGGACGTACCTCAGTTCTGTCCTATAAGTTTAATATAAAAAGTCCACAAGTGAAAGTTCATAAATTCTAAGACACACAATATATTTAAATCAGCTTCTCAGGACACTGGGGTTGGAAATTGGGGTAGAGAACAGCCTCATATTAAATATATTTTAGAAACATTCAAGCTTGAAAAAATATATGGGTCTAAAAATTTAAGAAAATATAAGTGTTATATCTTCATAGGAAAAACATTTTTTCAGGTATACTGTAGTCAAGTCTCCTTACACCTGTATAATTTTATTAACCAATGTCACTCAATAAATTCAATTAAAACATTAAAAAATGAAATGAAAGAAAAAAGAAGATTATTTTTGCCAGATGTCAATCCAGTAAAAATAAAGAACAAAGGTTTTAAGGCACTTTTAACACAATCAGCATATAAAAAAGAAATAGCATTTGAAGTTTTGATATTCCTGATCACAACTTGTTCTATCATCTCTTTGACACAATAGTGTTTTGCTTTAGGAAAATCCAGTAGCTGAAAGGCTCAATTTACCCTCAAGATAAGTGCGAAAATGTTAATTCAAGTTATAAATGATTCATTTAATTACAAAGAAACTCATCTGAAGAATTTTAACAGAAGTTCTCAGTACATTTCAAAAAACAATGACTTTCAATTTATTCATAACTTTTTATAAAAAAAGAATTTACTGAATATAATTAAAGATTATCTACTTACAGTGTATTTGAATTCATTATAAATAAAAAGCTCCACAAAATTAAATTGAAACTCAATTGACTAAATACCTATTGATTGGTTATCATTGGATGGGATTTCATAAAAGAAAGTATTTGACCTTGGTTTTCAATGATAGCCAACAGTGACCTCTGAATGTGAAGTATTTTTAAAGTTTAGTACTATAAAGATAAAACCATAATGGTTGACAGGGAAGTTTTAGTGCTTAAGTAAAGTCTGTTGTTATCTAGATTTATAAAGCTTCCTGTTTCAAACTTAGCTTTGAATAATTAAATTCTAACTGACTGAGTAAACAAAGCACATATTGAAACTAAAATCTATTGGCCATAATTTAAGATATTTACTTCATTCCATTTTAGCAGAGAGAGGAAACATTTATAACCATCAATACGATGCTGTATACAGATTTAAGTCATTTTGTGCAAGTCATATTTTCTTGCTATCCCAGAGTCAATATTGCTGGCCAGATGGTGGAGGCTGTGCTCAGTGCCTCATGGGCATTATTTCATTTTATTTAAGTTACAAAATAAAGTTCATGGATGTTGTGAAATATGAACTATATAGAAAAAGAAAGAATAAAAATTGAGAGGTTCTCTTGTCTCTTCTCCCTTTCCCCACCTTCTCTCTTCTCTCACTGCTGTCCCTCCCTGTCGCTTATCCTGGAGGTACATACCTGGTTGTGTGATGGACATCCACAGATATTTCTCACATCATTTGAATAAATATACATACATGTACCCACATACATATGAGATCCTAACTTGAATCTTTCCCTACCTTCAACCAAATATATAAATACCATGCTTCTTAATACCTTTCATCACATTCCATAGTTTAGACTGTAGTTTATTTAACAATTCCTACGTAGGTAGATATTTTTGCTGTTGTGAGCATGGATCTCAGTGCACACATTTATGGCAGGTTAGCAGAGCACTGCAGTGCAGTGGTCAGAGCTTTGCACAACTAACAGCGCCCATGAGCATTTCTCAGAGAAGGTAATCTGGCCTGGGACACAGAGGGGTACTCTTTTCTTCTGATCCATGCTCCACACTGCCACTTGATAAATACCACACATCGCCCCCTCCCCTGAACCACTACATCTCCCATCTGTTCCCAGGCCTCCCCCCTTTGCAACTTTGATGGCGGCACTACCTGCTAAAAGCCTGAAGGGCCAGCTCCAAGTGTCCCTCCTTAAGCATCTCATTCAGTGCCGCCCTCCCGCCCCACTGGGCCACTCTGCTACCCATCCCGCCTAACTGCAGTTATTTGTGCAGTTTCCCATCCCCCCCACTGGACTGAGCTGAGGGCAGAAGCCACTTGTCCCTTTCCTTGAATTCCCTGACCCCAACAACAGTGTCCGGTATGCAAGAGGCATTCATAATAGGTGCTCGAGAAACATTTTCTGAATGAATAGATAAGTCATGAATGAGGAAGTGAGCAGAACCATTCAACGAATTCAGTTATAAAATGCCTGAAGGTGCTGGAATTGCCTATTTTTTTTTCTTTTCCGACACCGGAAAGTTTATTGTGAAAAGCCATGGTTGGGAGGGGGAGGCTGGGGTGGACAGGCCCAGGGCCCGCCTGGGGGGATTCAGCCGGGCATCAGGCATTCCTCCATGCACATTTAAACCCCCCAGGGGCGGTGCTGTGACTGGCAGGGAGGAGGGCCGAGGGGCGCCCTCGGCACTGCTGGGCCCCTTGGTCCAAGGGGCTTCCATGTCAGGCGCGATGCCAGAGGTTGGAAAGCCGGTGGCCGTGCCTGCGCACAGGCCCGCCAGGGACTTCTGGAAGAGTGTGAAGCTGGGCCCGACCCCGCTACCGGGTCCTTAGCCCTTGAGGGAGCTCAGGATCTCTGGGCGCTTGGCGTTCTCCGGATGCCCCCCCTGGGTGCAGGGGAAGCAGGGCGCCAGGCGCAGGGCCCGAGGCGCCGCTGCAGATGCTCGCCTGGGCGAGGCCACATTCCCGGTGGGCAGCGCCTTCCCGCAGGGCGCCCACGCCCCGGGCTCCGCACAGGCGCCCCAGGGCCGGAGGGGCGCAGGGGGTCGCGCACCGAGCGGCAGCTGAGCGCGGCCCGGGGGTGCCAGAGAAGGCCCCCGAGCGCAAGGAGCTGAAATTGCCCATTTTTAATGGGAAGGGTTGTTTTTTCTGTTAGGAAAGACAACATGCTCCTCCTCTCGCACTTCTTTTTCCAAGGCTATTCTAATCTCAAGGCTTTATTCCTGTCTAGTCACTGCCACTCCCAAGTCCTGCTGTGATTTTTACTGTTCTCTGGGCAGTCTCTGTGCCCTCCCCACCTCAGCTGTGTCATACATTGCAAACATCTCTCTGTTACTTAATCTATACACGATCAGCACTTCGTAAGGCTCTTCTAGCTGCCACATTTTATATATCACACCAGGATACTTGCTCTAATAATAAACTGTGGTCTCCTTACTGTATGGCTCTTTAGATCTCCAAAAATTTTTCTGCCATGCTTTTGAAATGTTGGTTCTAAGTCATATTTGACAGTGCACACACTCCCCACTATGGATGGGGAAGTATCGCACTGTACTGTATCTTATTGCATTTGCGTTAATTGGAATATATTCTACTCTCAACTTTTCCACTTTGAAAATCCTGTTTATCACAAATCCTGTGTTCAGAAGTGCTTACCACCCTCTTTGACCCTTTTTGAAAAATAAAACTTAAGCACAAGTAATTTCATCAGAGCAAAAAAATAAGATCTGGGTTTACAAATATAAATGTTGTGTGTTTATGTGCATGTGTGTGTTTGTGTAAGACAGTAAGAGACAGAGACAGAGAGAGGGGCTGTCTCTAGCTTCTCAGGAATAAAATCAAGTTTATAGTTATAAATGCTGAAGAAATAAATAAGAAAGCAGCTACATAAACTGTGTAGTATGTCCTCTTTATGTTTTATAATAGTAATGAAAATAGCATCTTTAAACAAGTTAAAGCAAAATCTAATACTACCATGTTCATTCAGCCTTAATCCCTTCTCCTTTCCCCAAATGTTCTTTCCTTTTAAACACTTTTCAATCAAATTGCTAATGTTACCAGAGAATTAAACTTCCGAGCCACTCGTGGGTGTGAGGTGGAGGTTCTTGGGCTGCTGCTGAAAGAAGCATTTTCAGAAGCCCGCACAGGAGGATGTTATGTGGAAGATTTTATTGGCATGGAGTTACATTTCTCTGGTTCCAATGTCCCATTTCCTCCAAGCCAGTCCTGAAAGAGTGGCAGCTGGGAGTTCAGCAAAGCCAGAAACAAGGCCAGTGTCCTGAGTTTCCATTCCCTGTTGCAGCTGGGTGTGGTTTAGCATTCAGGCCAGATTAAAGTCTATTAGTCCATGTGTGGAGCCCAACGTGGCCATGCGCCATGTGCGCACAGGGGAGCATGCCCCTGTAACCGAGGTCGCAGGAGCCAGGCCTCCTGGAGCCAAGAAAGTGTGGATCCTTTCTCTAGAAGTTTACATATTCAGGTTTCTCATGCTTGCAGTGGCCATGCCCATTCTGTT